CCCAATTGCACCGGACACACACCAGAGAGACATTCATTCCTTTCTGATTGAGCCAGACTGCAGATGGGACAGACTGCATGGACTGTAACCACAGCAGACTGGCTGCCTTCTGGTCCGGTAGCTTTTGAAGTTGCCGCCATAGCCTTATGAGTTTCTCCTCCGAGATGGAACTGGCACCAGCAGCTCCATCTTTCCATTTTTGAACGGCAGAGACCACCGGGAGTTTGGATATCTTTCCGCGCTGAATAGCTCTACCCACGTTAGTGGTATAGAGGGTCAGAGGTGTAAAGCTGCCTTCTTTCTCGACCCCCTCCCAACCCCACAGATGAGGTTCCACTTTATAGGTGGAGGCCAAACGACCACCAGTGCAGGTTTCCTTCCCAGAGCGGCCCACAGATGTCCATACTCGGACCTCTGCCAAATCTTGATCCCATGGCACCAATTCTTCCCCTTTCAATGTTAACTGGTCTAATCCCATGTCAGTGGCTCGCTTGTACCAAATTTGAATCTTCATTCCTGCTGCTTTCGGAGGGCCAATCACCCACCAGTATTCTAATGGATTATCTGGAGACTCATACCAGGTATCTACAGCAGGTCTGTTCCCTCGTCTCAAAGATGAGATCCATGATGGGGGGATCACATCCTTCAGCTGATCAAAGTTTGCCCATCTATTATGCAATCTAGGTAATTTTGCCCGTAGTTGTTCCTCAGAAATCCAATTCTGTCGGATGTCATCCCAGAGGTCACCCAAGGAGATGACACCCCTTGTACACCAAGATTTACCGAAGTTACCTGGAGAATAATGTGTCGAGAAGGACTCACCGTTTCCTTGAAGGATACGAGGGTTATCAAACAATGGCTGGTTCAAGATTTCAAGATGAGTGACCGGCTCTCTAATGTTTGGAGGTCAGAGTTTGTTCCAAGCTGTGAGAATGTTGCACCAAACTGTGGAATTGGGCCTTCTCTGTGTAAAGGAAGGCAGACAAAGGCACCTCCAGACATCCGCGGGCCGCTGGATTTCCCATTCTGTACTCAACAAATAATCTGCCGGGATTATCGAAATCCTGGATTCCTGTGACATCATAGCCTGCACTGGACATTTGGCGAGCAATGCTAGATTTTGGTGCTTTGGGTCCATCAGGCCCAAGCCTCCCATCCCTTTTGTCGTTGCTACCGTTTCCCAGGCTATCTTATAGATAAAAGCCTGATCTTCTGCCGCTGTAAGCTTCCAGAGGAATGTAGCACCGCAGCGTCTGATGAAAGTATAGGCATCATCACTCAGCACGTGGACTGCCAGAACAAACCAGAGGGTAGAAAAGGCTGCTGCGGTCATTACCAGAGCTCGACCGAATAAGGAGAGGAATTTACCCCTCTCCCATTTACTGATTTTTCCGCTCACCTTTTGCTTTAACAAGTTATCTTGCACCGTTGCACAGTTTGTCAGAGCCACCTCTACCCCCAGTAGTCTTTCAGATGATCTTGCTGGGATCGACCTCATGCCCCAGTCGTCCACAAATACGAATGGTTCCCGCAACAGTACCACTGATTTACTCCAGTTGATGGAGGCCTCCGATAATACACAGTAACCGTCCAAAACAGTACGAAGTTCCCCAGTGGATTCCACCATGTTTCTGCAAATAACAGTTAAATCATCTGCAATTGCTCCCCTTATCCACTCAAAGGAGGGCAGCTTCAACCCACGGATGTGGTCATTTTGCGGAATGTTGTCAAGTGGGACCTCTAATTGCAGAACAAAAAGAAGCGGTGCCAAAGGGCAGCCTTGGCACAAGGAGCGGGTTAACTGGAAGGGTTCAGAGTCTTCAGACAGACGGCCGTTGACGTTTACCATGGCCGATGCACCTGAGTACATCGCGTGTACTAATTTGCAGAACACAGAACCAAAGCCCATTTGTGACAGGGCGGTGACTACAAATGCCCATCCCACCTTGTCGTAGGCGTTCTCCATATCCAAGACGATGACCGCTACATCTCGTATCTCGGCACTAATTATCTCCAAGGCCTGCAGTGTAGCTAGAATGTTTTCAAAAATAAATCTTCCTTTTACAAATTCCCCTTGTTCTAGTCCTATCAGATAAGAAAGGTGCCTGGCCAGCCTGATTGCCAGTGCTTTAGCCAAAATTTTGTATGCAACATTCAGCAGAGATATCGGTCGCCAGTTACGGAGTTCTCACTTATCGCCCTTTTTATACAAAAGAGAGATGATCCCTACCAACATGCCATTTGGGAGCCTACCTCCAAGACAACCGTGTTGTAGATCTCTAACACCCAGGGACCCATCGTTTCCCGAGTCACTATAAACAGTTCTACTGGGAGGCCATCGAGGCCTGGGCACTTACCAGTGGACATCTGTTTAACTGCCTGAGAAAGTTCCTCAATGGAGAAAGGTCGATCAAGATCCAGTTTTCCTGCGTTTGAGATTCTCACGTGTGTACGGTTCCAGAAGGTTGAAGAGAGAGATAAATCTGATTCAAATGAATCCGCCGGTCGGACTGTGGTCAGGATATCTGTGAAATAATTAGCAGCATATAAACACAAGGACTGAGTGGCCACGGCCACCGGGGCGCCCATCTTTTATTGCCGGGTAGAGGGAGTATGGGGGGGAAGGGGGATATACATGTGCAAGGAACATGAGTATGGACGAAGCACAGAAATCCAGAATGCAATATCACACTGAAGTCCAAGTATTCAAAGCCAAAGCAAATAGTACAATGGAACCGAGTAACCATCCAATTGAGAATGATACAGAAGAATCGTGAGTCAATGTCCATGCCCAACAGGGCAACGCCAACAGCATAACCCAAATGTAGCTCTCTCTTGTGAATGGCGCCAGGCGCCCTATCTACTCTACAGCCTATCCTACAACTACAGCAATGAACAGCAACCAGACTACTTGACTACCAGCGAGTGATGATGTCACCACCAATGCCGTAGACCACCATCACCAGGTACGTGTCCTCTTCCCCACACTCTCCCTTGTACCCACACAGCACCCTTCACCTCCGAAGAACCACCTTCGCCCTTCACCCCTCTGCGCCCTATGCAGCCCGGCTATGGCCGCCAAGCGCCCTGTATGCAGGCAGCGCCCTACCGCCTAGCGCTGGCCTGCTTGCTCTTAGCGCAGCACTGCCTTGCACAGCGCAGCACAGATGCATCGGCGCAGCGTGCCCGCAAGTGCCAGCATTGGCCAAGATCCCTGCTGCCTCGCCCTGCTTGCCTATATGCCAATGCAGCATGTGGGCGGCCTCCCTTCAGCCTGCGACCGGGACCCAGAGGCTGAAGCCTACCCGATACAGTTGGGCCCCGGAGCAATGCAGTTGCGCCTCTCTCATCAAGGCCTGCGGCCAGATTCAGATAGTGGGTCGATTTCCCTTTGGCATTTTCGGCCTCTCTACCCAGCATGCATTGTCGGCCTCACGTTCGAGTGCCCARRSYCWRASKMMCTGGGCATTTCAGCATTTGCTGAAATCCGAGACTCGGTGCACTCCAACCAACTGGCGTGCTGCAACTGTATAGACCCCACTTCGTGAAATGTTGGCATAGAGGGCTCTTGTTGATTTGTTGGCCCGCCTTCACTTAGGGCGGGCACTAGGCTTGCTGGGGCCTTAGCCCAGAACATGTACATCATGGCAAGGCCCCTACTTGAGGGCTCAATCCTCACACATGGTTTTTAAAGGCATTGAAAAGGGTTTTGACTTCCAAGGGGTATGTTTTGGTTTTGATTTTTTCATTTTTTTTGTCTTGTTTTTTTTTATTTCCAAATCCATAAGGAATTCTGATTTATTTCCGAATCTACAATGAATTCTGAAGTGACCCTCAGCCAAAAGTTGGTTGCATCGCAATTCTGGACACCATATTTGTTTTACAGATTATTTTTTTAATGCTTTTTTTTTTGGGAGGGGGGCCACCGAAGTTGCCACCAATTTACTGAATATAACGCCCAGGCGTTATAAACGAGTATACCGCCTGCCGGGTGTTATATTCCTATACACAGCCCGGGCGGTTTTTCAGGTGAAGACGGTAGCACTTTGTAAGCCAAGCTCCAACAAAAGAAACTGACATTACAAAAGAAAAGAAAAAGAAAAAGACAGGTGGCAAAAAACTTTGCAGTTCGTTTGTCAAGTTAGAGATGCAAAACAGGCACCAACCATGGGTTGTGTTGCTGCCAGACACCCCCGCGAGCTCATCAACCTGCAAGCTACAGCTTTCTGAAGCCTCTTCATCGTACATGCATAAGTTGCTGTGAGACCATTCTGCAGCTTTCCATGTAAAAAGCTGTTTCCCTCTGAAGATTCTGAGCATATGGTCATCAGATCGCATATCGGTAAAGGTTGCCAAGTTGCCAACTTACCGGTGAATCGTAGGCAGAGGGAGAAGAGGAGGAGGGGCTGTGTTATCAGCATATACAGTTCACTGAGAGAAGAGGACAAACAAACGACGCCATTATGAGGCAAACCTGCCTTCTCTGAATGGCACACGTATAATTCTTCAAACAAAGATCGCGATTTCTTCCGGTCTGAACGACTACCACTTCAGAAGGGGGGGGGGACAAGGAAAAAGGAAACAGATCGCATATCGGTAAAAAGCTGTTTCCCTCTGAAGATTCTGAGCATGTGGTCATCGGATCGCATATCGGTAAAGGTTGCCAAGTTGCCAACTTACTGGTGAATCGTAGGCAGAGGGAGAAGAGGAGAAGGGGCTGTGTTATCAGCATATACAGTTCACTGGGAGAAGAGGACAAACAAACGACGCCATTATGAGGCAAACCTGCCTTCTCTGAATGGCACACATATAATTCTTCAAACAAAGATCATGATTTCTTCCGGCCTGAACGACTAGCACTTCAGAAGTGGGCCAAGGAAAAAGGAAACAGGCAGAAGAAAAAAGGGCAAACAAGTTGATCGAGGTCAGACAGAAAGGGACAACCGGTGGATGAAGGTCAGGTGTAAGGTCTTCAGTATTATAAATACAAATTCACGAACCTGTGCGATATTTCTGTGTTGATCGCAATCAACAGCTGCCACAGTCACCACTCCTTTCAGAGCAGTTGCTGCTTTCTCCCAAGTGGGGGCCAAAGCTTTGCAGTGGCCTGCATAAAACAAACAGACACCGTCACTGTTGTCAGCCCTGTCAAATCGTCACCTCCAAACATGCTACTCAAAGAGAGACTGTCATCAGTTCCATCCTTTACCCACACTCCCTCCCTTTTTCCCTTCAAGCAGTTCCCATTCCCCCTCACTCAGGCAGACTGCATACTCTTGCAACTGCTGAGCTTCATTGCATTAGAGCTGATATTCCCTCCTGTTCTGATCACAGATCGTGCAGTCTGTGTCTGCCACCACACTTCTGTCAGCGAAATCAAAGGTAGCGCCACTCGCTTCTTCCACACACAATACTCTGAGAGAGAGAGAGAGAGAGAGAGAGAGAGAGAGAGAGAGAGAGAGAGAGAGAGAGAGAGAGAGAGAGAGAGAGAGTTGCCCGTCTCCGTTTGTTTACCAGGTAGTTCAAAACCCAAAAGAAGGCCATGAACAGGAAATGGATAAAAAGCTGCAGAATTTAAGGACTGCACACTGTGAATCAGGACATGCTGGAGTCACTGAAAAGAGAACAGACACCAAACAGCTTCAGGCTTTATGGTTGATGTTGTTTATTGACGGTAGGGGTGGTGGTGCTCTATGGTGTATGAAAACAGAGAAGAATCACGCAGGGGGAAAGGAAGGAGGGGGGAGGGGCGAGGGAAGGGAGAAAAGGAAGAGTAGGGAGAGAAGGAACTAGGACGTAGGCAGGCAAAGAAAAGGAAAAACAGCTGGCCATGAAACAGAATATAATTGTGGAAGAATCAGGGAGCGAAAATCATACGCACCGCACCAAGGTGCAAAGAACTCTACAAGTACAACTTGATTGGAATTCAACACCTGCAATCACGCAGAGCAAGAGCAGAAAGAAACCACACCCCAAAGAAAAAAAGCCGAAGCAGAGACGGAAGCAAATACGAAAGAAAGAACATAACAAAGGTTGAGAAAACGCAAAGAAAAACGAAAAAGGAGTCAAATTCAGTGTTGGACCCGCCATGGTCGGCGGCCCTAGACTGGTCACCTGCCAACGGCACCTACCGGTCGGGAGTCACCCCACAAAAAAAAAAAAAAAAAAAAAAAATTGGGGGGCGCATCCACAACCCCTAATAACGCCACCAACACCCCCAGAGCGGCCCCCAATACCCCCATACACCCCCCCAACCATCCCCCAAACCACCCCCCCMMCCCCCCCCAACACCCTTCTTACCCCCCCCAATTCTCCCTATACCCCCCTATACCCCCCCTATACTTCAACACCCCCCCCATCCCCAAAAGTTTCTCAGCGGATTTGGGCTGTACTCAGCAAGCACAGTACAGCCCCCAACTCAGATTTGAAAACAAATCAGTGGATGGTTGTTTTCTGACTGGCCAACCGGTCGGCCCTACTGGTCGGCTGCAATACGGTCGGCGGTCGGGGTTGGCGGTCGGCAGGGGTGCAACCCTGGTCACATTCAAACGAGTTCAAAGAACCAAAAAATCTCAACTCCAATGAAACGTACCCACCATCTGTTGCATTGCGAACTGGGGGCAAAAAAAAAAAAAAAAAAAAAGAACAGAATCGAAAAAGAAGGAAACAGGAAGAGAGAAGACAAACAGAAAGAAAAGGAATAGAGAGAAACACAGAGAGTGATCAACATTGTTTGCAGTAAATCCCCGAAATGAATAAATCCCTGAACGCTTTAAAACAAGTATTGTCTGCAAGCGTGCAAGGCTCTACAGGGCATACTTGCACTGAGACTTTCCTAAATGTATCCGGCAGTAATCCCAGCCAGATTCCATCAAAAATCCCACTGTGAGTCTGCCCTAACCACCTTTAGAAGACATGTGGAAAGCTCTTACTGCAGCACAATGAGCACCGCAAGGAAAATGAGCAATAGCAAAATGACAGAAATCCAAATTACAGATCACATTGAAAGCCAGATAGGCAAAAGCTGTCCACAAAGCAGAATTGCACTGGTGTTACACCGAAGGAGAACCAAAGCTACGAACTCAACTGTCAATGAAAGCACATACTCGCCACCACCAACAATGCAATCGTAACTCTTCCTCCTATTGGAGCTCAGCGCCCAGACTACTATCCTACAGCTACACTACTAGCGACGAAAAGACAAGCAACTTGTTGACGTCAGCAGCAGCAACCACAGTACATGCAGATGTCGACCATGTAGACCATCGCCAAGACCAGGTACGTGCCCTCACATCGTCAGCTTCATCTCTCTCTCCCCCTCGTTTTCTTTCACCCACGTATCCCTTCACACGAAGATCGCCACCCACTTCTTTATGTGCTTGACAGCCAGCTGCACCAGTTGCTCATACTTGACAGCAAACTCTATGTGGCCTGATGCTGCAGTGGGCTGGCTCTCAGGCAACAGGAAATCACACGAGCAGAGCTGTGCAATGACTTGCTGTTTTTTGCCGCCGGTGACCCGTCGACCCGAGGCTGTAACATAGGTAGGTTAGATTCGTTACTTTGTTTGGCTGAGCGCTAACCGAGAGACCTGCCTTTAAGGAAAATTCGTGAGGGACATATCTGCAAATTCGGAAAAATACAGGCCCACACTAACTAGAATTTCCTACCGCTACCTTAACTGTGGATAGCAGGCCCGGGCTACCCCTAGGACAGACAGGCCCTAAAGGCCTACGCTGATAGACGGTCCTATAGCCTATAGGTAGGGAGGCCCTGGAGGCCGAAACTGAAACAGTACCGGTCAGTCCTACCAGTCCGGTCCAGGTCGTGTCTAGGCTAGGGTAGACTATGAATAGGTTTAGGAAATACAGTTCAGGGCTTTTTGGCAGTTGGTACGGTGTACGTCGCTGCTGTGCAACGCATGAACTGGAGTGGTGACAGCTTCAGCGTTGGGGAAGACGGACATAGCCAGACCTGCAAAGCGTCACCCATAGCTGGGACCTGAGCTGTTCTCTGACAGCACGCGGGGCTGTTCAGAGGTCTGGGCTATCTGGAGTCTGCTGGAGGCGATAGAGGTTGGTGCCCTGCTGAACCCTCCTCAGGAGTACGGTGTCAGGGTGTTTGGTGTTGCAGCCATAGCTGCAGCTTTCATCCTCAGAGATCATCTTTGTCAGGAGAGGTGGTGCTGCTTCAGATTTCCACCCGGGAGGTCTTCAGGCACTTCATCTTCACCAGTAACTGTGGCGCTGGTCTTCTTCTTCATCCTCTGAGAGGCGCTTGGCCTCGAAGGCCTGTTTCAGGGTGGCGCTTCCCTCTGAAGGCAGTATCTGGGTGGCGATTGATGTTTCAGAGACTCAGGGGTAGTAATAGCGGTTACTCAGGGTTGGGGAGTGAAGCGCTGCTCATTTCTGAGCTGTGCACCATGGTTCTGGGGTTATTCTGACATTTTGAGACTCGTTTAAAAACAGTGTGAATACTGTGTGTGGACTATCATTGCTTCATTGTTTTCTGGACGTGATCTACTCGGCTTTCCTTTGTGACTGGTTGTGAGGATTTTGTGGAGCGAATTGCACTTTCAGTGTTTTCCGTCATGTCGCATGGACAAGTCTTCCACTGTGTTTCTCTCTCCATGTGCGGTGTGATACTCCCATCCTCTCCCCTTCCTTCTGTGTATGTATTCGCATACCTGGAAGTCTATGTGAGCGAGTGTTGGTCTTCTGACAACGAACAACCAGGTTCATAACAGCTGGGCTTCCAACCAAGATGCAGCTGGTTAGGAGTCACACCGGTACTGCCAACAAAAGAGTCAGGGGCACTCACAAAACTCAAACAAGACTCCGGCTTGGGTGAGGGCTGGCCTGGATCAAGATATGTGGGGGGACCGATATTCGCGAGGGGCTTGCATTAACTGCGGCGAGTATGGCAACCAGCAGTTAAGTGCAAGAATGTGAAGGTTTCTCAAAAGATAGCGCTCAAAAGTGGTTTGGGGGAATCTTTCGCCAAAGTGGTGGTTCTACGAGCGCCAACCATGGAAACGCATTTGGCCAATATAAGTGGTAGCTGCTTCTACTCATGCTGAAGTGGTTGGTGAACCTTCACCACTTCAGTAGTTGGCCGAAGCTATCGACTCTTTAGTCACCCAGCATACCCATCTACACCAAACGACACTCTATTCGCTGGGTGTGTCTGGAGCCTTAGAAGGCTTAGAAACCGGGTGGTCGGCAAGGGACCCTCGCGAGTCTTGGGTGGCATTGTCCAAAGGTCGTAAGGGGAGCATTTCGTTGTAGAAGTCAGTGCAGGTGGCCGCAAGTGTGGTGCCTTCGTAGACATTGGCTCTACACGAAACTTCAGAAGTCGCGACTACGTTAATAGAACGCGCCTAGGGGACCGGATGCAACACTTGAGATGACCTGTAGCATCTACACTAGCCAACAAAGAGTGGGAAACTTAATCATCATATTTCGTTCCTAATTAGTGACGACTTGCCTTTCGACATGTTGTTAGGTATGTACTACCTTGAGGTTGCCAAGCCCCAGTTTGACTGGGACCGAGAAGTGCTTAAGCATGGGAGGATTGTTAGACTAGCTAAGTATAGAGCTAGTAGGTTAATTGATTCCTATGGGTGTATGTGTGCGAATGCATTCTATAATTACTATGAACAAAACCAAGAGGAGGGTATGTACTTAGTTTTTCTCTCTGAGAAAGGGGAGGCAATTAAAATACCCAGGATTGTTAGACTAGCTAAGTATAGAGCTAGTAGGTTAATTGACTCCTATGGGTGTATGTGTGCGAATGCATTCTATAATTACTATGAACAATATAATTACTATGAACAAAACCAAGAGGAGGGTATGTACTTAGTTTTTCTCTCTGAGAAAGGGGAGGCAATTAAAATACCCCCAAAGTTAAAGACCATCGTTGATTAGTACCCCGATCTGTTTCAGGAGACTTCGGGAGTCGTAAACAAGGAGATTGCCCATGTCATAAAACCCCAAAGGGAAGGATGTATAGGATGGCTCCGGCCGAGTTGGACGACCTTCGTTGGCAACTAAAAGCGCTCACAGAAAAGGGTTGGATCTGACCTAGTACCTCCCCCTCCAACTTACCAGTTTTATTTGTTCCGAAGAAGGGGGGGTCGTTAAGGATGTGCATTGATTGTAGAGGCCTCAATGCCATCATCATTAAGAACGCATCGACGACCTATTGGATAGGGTGCAAGGATACAAGTACTTCACTAACATAAATTTGAAGTTCGGCTACCATCAAATTGCCATTAGATCAAAAGATCGGCACAAAACCACACTTCAAACCAGGTACGGTCTATACAAGTTTGTGGTGATGCCTTTTGGCCTTTGTAATGCGCCGGGTACATTCCAACATGCCATGAATAGGGTGTTTCACGACTACTTCGATAAGTTCATCGTCGTGTCCCTCGACGACATACTTATCGTCAGTAGGGTTGTCGAGGAGCATGCCCAGCATGTAAAAATCACACTTTCACTCCTGCGAGAACACAAGTATAAGATAAACTTAGAGAAATACGAGTTCGGCCAGGCTAGAATTTTGTACTTGGGTCATGAGATATCCGCGGAAGGTATTAGGCCCGAAGATGAAAAGGTGGCTAGCATTCGTGACTGACGACGACCCCAGCATGTGACTGAGGTGAAATCATTCTTAGAGATGTGTGGCTACTACCACAATTTCATAAAGAATTATAGTACGGTGGCCTCCCCTTTGACGGATCTAACACACCTTAACACACCATGGGAATGGACAGAAGCGTGTGAAGTTGCTTTCAAAAGATTGAAGTACGCCCACCAGAGAGATCATTCGTTGTGACCACTGACGCAAGCCAATATGGCATTGACGCAGTGCTGGCCCAGCAGGAAGGGAAAAAGTTGAGGCTGATAAAGTACATGAGCAAGAAGATGCC